AAGAGGTCCTCCAACTGGATCAGGTACAATAAATCACACACGAAAAGTAGAATCAGCAAAAGACCCCGTCATAGAAGGACTCATTGCGAGTGTTAAGAGTCTCACTGAGGTTGTCACCAGAATGCAAATGGGTCATACAAACAGCAGCAGGTCACCACAACGACCACGATCCAAGTCACAAATGTCCAGACAATCTGGGCAGTTTTGTTGGTACCACTGGAAGTTTGGTGTCAACTCAACCAAGTGCAGGCAACCATGCGCCTGGCCTAAGCATAATTCCAAGACAGCGGGAAACGAGTAACCCCTCCCCGGGTCGCGACAACTGAGGAGGGGCGCCTAAACAGTCGCTTGTTTTATGTCAGACAGAAACTCTGGCTTGAATTTCTTGGTGGATACTGGCGCTGCTCTTAGCACCATCCCTCGAAATAAAACTGAGATTAGTCGAGAAACATCACCGATTACACTTCAAGCTGCAAATAAAACTACAATCGCGACATTTGGGCAGAAAACGTTAACCCTAGATTTGGGGTTCAGAAGGCAATTCCCTTGGGTTCTCACGGTAGCCGACTTAGATCTGGCAATACTGGGGATGGACTTTCTAGAGAGATACGAATTTCTAGTTGACACCAAGAAACGGCGATTAACACTGAAAGAAACTTCGTTTTACACAAAAGGCAAAGAAAGTCACATCAGCTCTCTTAACTTGATTCAAACCCCTCCAGTAACAACAGCAAAATTTCAAGATATACTCGCGAAATTTCCAAACTTAACTAAACCAAACCCACAGCCTTCCAAAGACAAACTAAAAGTAAGTCACACTATCAAAACCGAAGGTGCACCGGTGTTTGCAAAACCCAGGAGACTAGCACCAGATAAGCTCAAAATCGCTAGGGCTGAGTTTGATTATATGCTACAACTGGGTATTATCCGTCCCTCTGATAGTCAATGGGCATCCCCTTTGCATATGGTCCCAAAGAAGAATGAAGGTGACTGGCGACCGTGCGGGGATTACAGAGCCCGTCAAACCGTACCAGATAGGTACCCAATACCGCATATCCAAGATTTCACAAACGGTTTACAGGGTATGAACATATTCACTAAAATTGACTTAGTCAGGGCATATCACAATATCCCGGTGGCTGATGAAGATATCCCCAAGACAGCTATTACAACACCCTTTGGCTTATTCAAGTTTGTACGCATGCCATTCGGCCTGAGAAATGCGGCATAGACATTTCAAAGATTCATAGATAACCTACTTCGAGATATGCCATTTGCGCAGGGGTATATAGACGACTTGTTAATTGCCAGCCCCGATTTGCAATCACACGAAGAGCATGTACGAGCAGTGTTGAAAAGATTGAATGAACATGGAATAAACATACATCAAAGCAAGTGTGTTTTCGGTGTTCAAACTTTAGAATTTCTCGGTCACACAATAAGCCCAGAAGGGATTAAACCTATAAAAAAAGAAGTGGATACCATCAAACAATACCCGATACCTAGCTCTCTAACACAAATGAGTTTTCTAGGTCTAATTAACTTTTATCGCAGATTCATACCAGGTTGTGCACAATTAATGCAACCTTTAACAGATTCACTTAAAGGAAAACCAAAAGAATTCAAACTGTCTTCTGACGCCGTCGAAGCTATTAAACAGCTTAAAGATAAACTGGCTCAAGCAACTACGTTGATATATCCGAATTCTCTTTCCCCACTTGCTTTGATGGTGGATGCTTCAGATAAAGCAGTAGGCGGTACCCTTAACCAACTGGTTAAAAACGCCTGGAAACCAATTGCTTTCTTCTCGAAAAGACTCGCTCCAGCTGAGACAAGGTATTCTACCTTCGGGCGAGAACTTCTTGCAATCTACCTGACTATTAAACACTTCCGACACATGTTAGAAGGTAGGGAATTTATAGTCTTTACGGATCACAAACCACTGACGAATGCATTAAAAGCGAGAGCCGATAAGTACTCACTTCGAGAAGTCCGACACCTTGACTATATATCACAGTTCACAAGCGATATCCGACATGTCAAAGGTCAGGACAATCAGGCGGCAGATGCTTTATCCAGACTAGAAATGAACGTGCTACAGCAGTCTACAGTAAACTTCGAGACGTTGAGACACGAACAAGAGCAGGACCTAGAATTACAAAACCTACTTAAAACAAACAATTCAAGTCTTAATTTAAAACAGTTCCCATCACCTATCGATGGTATTCTAATTTACTGTGACACGACCAAGGCAATACCGCGACCTTTCGTTCCCAAAAATATGCGAAAGTTGATATATAATAACTTTCATTTTTTGTCTCATCCTGGCGCAAAAGCTTCAACTAAACTAATCAATGCCAGATATACATGGCCGAATTTACAGAAGGATGTACACAAATGGGTTAGAGAGTGTTCAGCATGCCAACAATCAAAGATCAATCGTCACACAAATTCACCCATAGGTGTTTTCTCGCAACCAGATGCACGTTTTGCCCATGTGCATATTGACTTGGTAGGTCCTTTACCACGTTCAAACGGTTTTAATTATCTTTTTACATGCACAGATCGATTTACCAGATTCCCTATAGCCATCCCGAGGGAAAATTACCAAGTCGCTTAATGTTTGACTTACAATCAGTGGCAACTAACGCTGTCAGCCTTCAACGGTAGTCCATGGATATCTCTTCATTTACTAGCTTGTCATCTTATTTTGTTGCATGTGATTTCTTCTACAACTGTCGCTGACGGTTTGCTGAGTGCTTTCATGAGAAAGAGTGTGAGACTGTGGAATAAGAATATCTGAGGAAGTGCCGCGAGCGGGCTATCCAACACCATGTTGGTGATGTACGATTTTTCCATGCTCAGACCGGCTATCACGTGTTTACTCACCTGCCTCTTGAGTCGCCCTCAAGTAAAAAGTAAAGAAGAATTTACTTCAAAAGTAATGATGAGAACCAATCAAACCTGAAGAACTGCTCCACTGCCTGCATCAAAATAATAAGATACAAAATGGAAATACATAAATATAATTGTTAATTGTTTGGTTCCACGTAAGTGGTTGACCTCCAGAACGGATTGGTATTCTGGAATGAAATAGACATATTGTAGACATCTTGTGTACGAAAAGGTATGAAAACAAAAAAAACTTTTTATAATGCATATATGTAAAAGTGTAAACTCGCTAGAATTTGGACTCATTGACAAACCCGTTCAAATGTGTGACCATGTGACTATGACGACCGCCTTTTATAACCAGGTACGTAACCAAGGGTGCATAATTTTATTCCATAAAACGGAAGAGAATATACGGTTAAAGAGGGGAAAAATTGTGTAGAGTATGAGGATCGAGTACATTTGTATCAAATACTCTTTTCTGGTTTGATTTAAATATGTATGATATATTGTAGCAATATTTCGTCAATTCATCCAAGTAACGAATTTATCTGCACCTTAGAAGTGTGTAAGTCCTATTACTCATTAGTATTATGAATGATTAATCGGTAAAAGGAAAGATTGCAGTCATCCCCTTCGTGGTCTGATGTGGTCTAATGACTAGTCACACGGTCTAGCATTCAGGAGGGCAGAGGTTCGAGTGCGTGTGGGGCACGCGTTTTTCATCAAAACCCCCTTCAATACGATGTTTGTTGGCCATAAGTTGCTCAGATATGAAAGAAAGATAACAGGAGGATGGGTTGATATGTCAAAATGCCATATTGGAACAGTACAAGTTCTTTGTTTGGATTACTGAGAATACTATAGAAAAAAATCTACAAGTTTTGTAATTTCAATATTTCGTTATACTTAAACCGAGAGAAAAAGTATATATATATATATATATATATATATATATATAAAAGTTACTGACATAACATGTCTTTTTTATAACGCTAGTGTTAAGTTCCAGGGTTTTGTATGGACCACTAATAATAATTGGTTTAACGTTAACATAGCTGTGATAGTCATTTCGTTAGTTCAATGTTATGATTACTTAACAGTTCCTTTATAAGTTGTGTTTAAAATTAGGTATGTGGAATCAATGCGGCTAACATAGTAACCTTACAGTAACGCACTGTACTATATCTCCACGGTTATTGATTCTTAAATGTCAGAAATTTAAAAAAATCTGAATATTGCCAATAAAGATGGGTTATTTGATCACACTAAAAAGCATGCTGCAGGAAAACTGGTCAAGTCATTACATAAGTTTCCTAAACATGAAAAAAAATGAGAATTTTAATAAGTACTTGGCCATGGTTTAATCCAAAATGTTTTGTCTAGAAAACCACTTATTAATAGTAGTATTAATCGTATCAAGCTACTAAACATATCTTCGACCGAAAACTTTTAGAAGTAGTTCATATGGTATATATGTATAGCCAGTCTACGTGAAAAATGTATATAGATATATAAGAAGTACAGCCAACATAGTTAATTAACCAGAAAAAGAAATTATAAAACTCGCCTGTGTTGCTTTTTGAATTCGTTGTATTTGCCAGTGTTAGTTGTATGAGTTTGATTAAAATCCTCAGCCATCGTTTCGGAATACAGAGCTTATGTGTCCAGTATTTAAAAAAATATTTAACATAACACATATATTAAAGGTAAAAGGTCTGGGGAGTTGTAGGTGAGGCGGAATGAGGAAAAAAAAATATTTTTAAGTAGATGCAGGGTCTGATTAGCTACGTGATTAGATTTTATCCTGCAGCCGAAACTGTCAACATCCTTGACTGACTAATTGAATGTGCCCAGCGAATCGTTTTAGTCATTTGTAAAGATTTATCATCTTTACATTTCGATTCCGTAATGGATTTGTCAGTTAAACGATCTAACAATACGTATGGTGGTTCATGATCTAGATAAGCCGGCTTTAGCCTATCAATACTTATTGTGTCGATGTTTCCATGTTTTTCTATCACGAAATATTTAGATTTTCTTGAGACGACTTTGAAAGGACCTTCAAATGGAGGACTGAGTGGTGATTTTATTTTGTCACATCTTATTCAGACGTGCGTGCAATTGCTTAGGTCTTTAGGTACATACATGGCGCGTGATTGTTCACGAGTATTAATTGGTTTAAGTTTGGACATATGTTCCCGTAGTTGATCTACGTAATTTTCTAAATTAAGTTTTTGACTGTTAGTATTAGGATTAATAAATTCACCTAGTAGTCTCAGAGTTGTTCCGAAAACTAGTTCCGCAGCTGAACACTGTGCGTCAGTTTTGACAGATGTTCGTATTCCCAACATAACTAATGGTAGGAATTCTGTCCACTGATTGGGGTTTGAGTGAGATACAAGGGCGGTTTTTAGATGACGGTGAAAACGTTCTACCATCCCATTAGCCTGAGGATGATATGCAGTGCAGCGTATCCTATTGGAGCCTAGAAGTTTAGCCAAGTTATTAAATAGTTCGGATTCGAATTGCGCTCCTCTATCCGTCGTTACTGTTATGGGTGTACCAAAAATGGTTACCCAGTTCTGCATGAAAGCTTTGGCTACTATTTCCGCTGTGATGTCCGCTATCGGGATGGCTATAGGGAATCTGGTAAATCGATCTGTGCATGTAAAAAGATAATTAAAACCGTTTGAACGTGGTAAAGGACCTACCAAGTCAATATGCACATGGGCAAAACGTGCATCTGGTTGCGAGAAAACACCTATGGGTGAATTTGTGTGACGATTGATCTTTGATTGTTGGCATGCTGAACACTCTCTAACCCATTTGTGTACATCCTTCTGTAAATTCGGCCATGTATATCTGGCATTGATTAGTTTAGTTGAAGCTTTTGCGCCAGGATGAGACAAAAAATGAAAGTTATTATATATCAACTTTCGCATATTTTTGGGAACGAAAGGTCGCGGTATTGCCTTGGTCGTGTCACAGTAAATTAGAATACCATCGATAGGTGATGGGAACTGTTTTAAATTAAGACTTGAATTGTTTGTTTTAAGTAGGTTTTGTAATTCTAGGTCCTGCTCTTGTTCGTGTCTCAACGTCTCGAAGTTTACTGTAGACTGCTGTAGCACGTTCATTTCTAGTCTGGATAAAGCATCTGCCGCCTGATTGTCCTGACCTTTGACATGTCGGATATCGCTTGTGAACTGTGATATATAGTCAAGGTGTCGGACTTCTCGAAGTGAGTACTTATCGGCTCTCGCTTTTAATGCATTCGTCAGTGGTTTGTGATCCGTAAAGACTATAAATTCCCTACCTTCTAACATGTGTCGGAAGTGTTTAATAGTCAGGTAGATTGCAAGAAGTTCTCGCCCGAAGGTAGAATACCTTGTCTCAGCTGGAGCGAGTCTTTTCGAGAAGAAAGCAATTGGTTTCCAGGCGTTTTTAACCAGTTGGTTAAGGGTACCGCCTACTGCTTTATCTGAAGCATCCACCATCAAAGCAAGTGGGGAAAGAGAATTCGGATATATCAACGTAGTTGCTTGAGCCAGTTTATCTTTAAGCTGTTTAATAGCTTCGACGGCGTCAGAAGACAGTTTGAATTCTTTTGGTTTTCCTTTAAGTGAATCTGTTAAAGGTTGCATTAATTGTGCACAACCTGGTATGAATCTGCGATAAAAGTTAATTAGACCTAGAAAACTCATTTGTGTTAGAGAGCTAGGTATCGGGTATTGTTTGATGGTATCCACTTCTTTTTTTATAGGTTTAATCCCTTCTGGGCTTATTGTGTGACCGAGAAATTCTAAAGTTTGAACACCGAAAACACACTTGCTTTGATGTATGTTTATTCCATGTTCATTCAATCTTTTCAACACTGCTCGTACATGCTCTTCGTGTGATTGCAAATCGGGGCTGGCAATTAACAAGTCGTCTATATACCCCTGCGCAAATGGCATATCTCGAAGTAGGTTATCTATGAATCTTTGAAATGTCTATGCCGCATTTCTCAGGCCGAATGGCATGCGTACAAACTTGAATAAGCCAAAGGGTGTTGTAATAGCTGTCTTGGGGATATCTTCATCAGCCACCGGGATATTGTGATATGCCCTGACTAAGTCAATTTTAGTGAATATGTTCATACCCTGTAAACCGTTTGTGAAATCTTGGATATGCGGTATTGGGTACCTATCTGGTACGGTTTGACGGGCTCTGTAATCCCCGCACGGTCGCCAGTCACCTTCATTCTTCTTTGGGACCATATGCAAAGGGGATGCCCATTGACTATCAGAGGGACGGATAATACCCAGTTGTAGCATATAATCAAACTCAGCCCTAGCGATTTTGAGCTTATCTGGTGCTAGTCTCCTGGGTTTTGCAAACACCGGTGCACCTTCGGTTTTGATAGTGTGACTTACTTTTAGTTTGTCTTTGGAAGGCTGTGGGTTTGGTTTAGTTAAGTTTGGAAATTTCGCGAGTATATCTTGAAATTTTGCTGTTGTTACTGGAGGGGTTTGAATCAAGTTAAGAGAGCTGATGTGACTTTCTTTGCCTTTTGTGTAAAACGAAGTTTCTTTCAGTGTTAATCGCCGTTTCTTGGTGTCAACTAGAAATTCGTATCTCTCTAGAAAGTCCATCCCCAGTATTGCCAGATCTAAGTCGGCTACCGTGAGAACCCAAGGGAATTGCCTTCTGAACCCCAAATCTAGGGTTAACGTTTTCTGCCCAAATGTCGCGATTGTAGTTTTATTTGCAGCTTGAAGTGTAATCGGTGATGTTTCTCGACTAATCTCAGTTTTATTTCGAGGGATGGTGCTAAGAGCAGCGCCAGTATCCACCAAGAAATTCAAGCCAGAGTTTCTGTCTGACATAAAACAAGCGACTGTTTAGGCGCCCCTCCTCAGTTGTCGCGACCCGGGGAGGGGTTACTCGTTTCCCGCTGTCTTGGAATTATGCTTAGGCCAGGCGCATGGTTGCCTGCACTTGGTTGAGTTGACACCAAACTTCCAGTGGTACCAACAAAACTGCCCAGATTGTCTGGACATTTGTGACTTGGATCGTGGTCGTTGTGGTGACCTGCTGCTGTTTGTATGACCCATTTGCATTCTGGTGACAACCTCAGTGAGACTCTTAACACTCGCAATGAGTCCTTCTATGACGGGGTCTTTTGCTGATTCTACTTTTCGTGTGTGATTTATTGTACCTGATCCAGTTGGAGGACCTCTTTCCATTATTTTATCAGCTATACGCGCTAAATGAGGTTTCAGGATCTTGTGCATCCAAACAGTGTTGGACGTAGCATGGGAGAGCTTGTATCCATTCTTGTTTTAGGACTGCTTTACCCACTGTGTTATCACCCACTGAGACTTGGAGGTGACGTAGAAGCTGTGACGGCGACCGATCACCTAGTGTTTCACCTTGAAAAAGTTTTTGGATTCTTTGACTATCTGATAATGATAAACGGTTCATCATCTCGTCTTAAGATGGTGTACGGTTGTGGTGATGGTGGATCTAAAATCAAGTCACGGACTTTTTTGGCGACTGAAGGAGGAAGGATAGAATACAAATCTCTATAGCGAATCCCTTCAGATTTGATATTGTGTCTCGTGAAATAATGCTCTAGTTGAGCAAACCACAACTCAGGATCACTACGATCAAATTCTGGAAGTCGAGGTTTCGTAGTCATAACAGTGTCTATCTCCACTGGTGACAAATCCTCCAGATTATGGGTTTCTTTTAAGTCTGACATGAGGTATGTGACAAATATAGCAATAAATTTAGCAACAAAACTTGTTGATGAAAAGATTTAGCGGCAATTGAGTAACGGCTTTTTACCGTAATTATATCAAGCTAGCACAGTTCTATCTATAATATTCGATGACTGATTTTTTTTGAGCAACCAGTCATTTTGTTTAACCCCAAATAAATTAATCGTTATAATCACCTAGTATTTCATGTATTAGGTTGCGACAAATAGTAAAGTATATATTTACTGTAAAATTATTACTAAAGTGCCTACAAGCTGAAAGTAAACAAACCCATTTAGCCAAAGTACATTTACGAATCAAGATAATATTGAAATGATTTTTATATGATACAGGGTTACAAAATGTTTTTTTTATAATTGAAGTGATGCTAAGCAAATTGAAATATTCGAAGATTCCAAATGAATGAACTCAAGAACTGAATCTACTGCATCAGGTGGTTTGGACTGAACGAGGTGTGTGCAACGCGATAAAAAGGTATCACGATTTGACCTAAACAGAAAAGTAGTAAATATTATTAATACAGCACTTCAGATCAAATATGAAGTTGAAGACTAGATTCTATAAAAGTTACCTTGATACACAGTATGAGTGAACTGAATCGTAGTTGTACTAAAAGATTAGTTTTAGTAACAGGTTTTCTTAAAGAAGTATATTTACACAGCTCAGTATTTAAGAGCAGATCGTCAACTTTTAACTCCTGGAAAAAGGCTCGGACACTGTTCGACTCATTTCGGTCGAGGTGGTTAGGCAGTATTATCAGTCCTAGCAAACTGTCCCCTAGTACCAAGCACACAAACGTATACTTGTTACACAAATATAACTATTAAAAGGGGGAAGTTAATAATGATGCTCGGTCCCCCAAATAAACAACCCAATAGTTGAATATCAATATCTTGACTATTAAGTCATCGTTCGTTTTTGAATAAGAACGAGGTGAACTGCATTTATGTAACGCAAAATTCGTTGAATCTAGTGCAAAAATGCAACATAATAGTTCATCAATGCATTGTCTTCTGGATGAAGAACATTTATGACTCGACATTAAATGATCAGCAGTAGTTACAAAAAACAAATATCAGTTAATACAGATTTTAATATGCTTAAGAGAAGTAACTGTGACACATACTTACATATTTCCACCATTAAGCTCAACGAGCTGTAGTAGCTAAAGTTAAACACTGTAGTGGTTAAGTTTCGCCTACTACGAAGACCTAATATATTTGTAATGATCAAGACAATTGTTTTTTAACTTTTATAGTGCCACGCAGTAAACTCAAGGTCTGAGAGCAGAAGGGGTTATGAAAGGGAAAGCATGAAAGAAGAATAACTCCATTTCCTGGGATTTTCAGTACCAGTGGTGAGGTCTCAAAAGTCAAGAACGAACACATACTAAACTAATTATATAGAAACACCAATCATCTGCGCTATTCAATCACGTCTGTGGATGGAAAATATCACATCAAGTCCGATATCCTTTACAGGACCCTCAAGAAGCAAGTCTTTGTGGTTTATGTACCTGGAAAGTGACGACTATCTACACACTTTGTCTATAATTAAATCCCTACCTCACTTCCTATTATTTCTTTTATTCCCACTATCAATCACTTTTCTTCAACTCGATAAACGTGCTAGTGGTGTTAACTATACGAGTTCACAAAAGATTAAACCAGTTTCATCAAACAACACTTTAGAGTTGCGTGTTACTAACAGTTGCTATCCACGAAACTTGCATGAAGGATCCAAGTGTGGTCATTCACTTGGTGTTACCTAGCCGAAATGTAAAGTCAGAGAGATCCACTCCAAGTGCACCCACGAACTTGACTGTAAACTTTCGTGGCCTTACTACGGTATATATAGCATTAAGTTCAGAAACAAAATACGGATCCATAAACTAGACCTTAGCAGATATTTGCTTTTGAACTGTACGATTAAATAGGACGGTAAAACCACCAAAGGATAGGATACATGCCTCTACTTCTTTATAATTATGGCATTCCAAAAGTGAACGATGGTTTTCAGAATGCCTTTTGGCTTCCTTAGAAAAGCTAGAAGTACGGACATAGTAGATTCAATGGACTTTATCGTCCAAGATAAAAATATGTCAGTTCGGAAGGACTTTTGGAACTGTCCCAAGTAATAAAGATTGTCTGCTACGACTATGGTTGGATGATTGTTTATTCCTAGCTAATCTCAACCCAAAATATAGAAAAAATTCAATCTTCCGACCATTGACACTGACTAAATGAACACAGGTAAACCATATTGCTACCAGTTAGTGTAGAAGAGCGATAAAATACTGCTGGTTTTTCCTTAAGCACAAATCTGAACCGCGATTAGGTCCGTGCTAGCACGTATTTGAGTGGACCTTACATGAAGAAACGGTAACCAATGTAACCTGATGGGTTATTTTTTGAGGAGATTTGGGTACGGTGGACTATCTTTACCAATGAATGATGTAATAAGTTGACTACCGATTAGTTTCCGCAAAATCGGTGATACGCATATTAAGCAGCAAGACATATATATGACATTGTTTGCGGTTCTGAAATTATTCAGGATAAGACGAGTTTTAGATGTGTTGCTGCTTGGTATGCATTAAGGTAACTCCGTCTGTAGCCCTTCTGGAATTACTCCCGGTACCAAGACCAGATAAAGGAGAAGAATTGAGCATGGGGTCAGCTCTCCCAACTCATAGAAAACAACCTTGCTTAAAATACGCTAACCAGAATAAACAAATCAAAACATTTAAACTTTGCCCACCGAGTTGAAGGATCTTCATTCAGAAAAATTATGACGCCTTATGGTGAAATTTGAGATTCTTAGGAAATCACGAGGCCGATGTCCCTTTTAACAACCACAGCAACAATTTTTTAGAGGTACATGGAACGTCCGGACAATGTGGGAGACTGTGAAGACCAGTCAAATAGCAACGGAAATGAGGAGATACATTTTGACAGTGCTTGAAATCAGCAAAACCATTGGACCCAAGCTGGACAGAAAAGGTTACATTCGAAGGGGATGATGCTCTATACTGGTCATAAAGAAGAAAATGCTTCGCACAGACAAGTTGCTCTGATGTTCAAAAAAGAATGGAAAATACTTATAGAATGGGAATCTCATAGATCCAGAATTATCAAAGCATCATTCAAAACAAACGAGGGAATTACAATGAATATTATCAAGTGCTGTGTGCCCACCAATGACAGAAATGATGATAAAGATCAGTTCCACAAGAAGCTACAATCGATTATAGAGAAGTGTTTAAGAAAGGAACTCACCATCCTGATAGAAGATCTACACACCAAATCCAGAATGGATAACACAGGGTATGAAGACATCATGGGACGATATGGACTGCAAGGAACAAGAATGGTGAAAGTTTTGCAAATCTATATGCATTCGACAAAATGGTTATAGGTGGCACGATTTTCCCAAACAAATGCATACACAAAGCTACATGGGTCTCACCGGACCACACAACAGAGGACCAGATAGATATTTGTACAACTAAAAAATTCAGGTCATCGGACATCGAAGCAGCAACTTAAGATATTTTCATAACTTCTACCCTACCAACGATTGAAGAAATGAGCGTGACTATCAGACAAACCGAGAATGGGGGGCAGTAGGACCTGACAACATAATAACTAAAGCACTGAAATCACAGACAGAAGTAACTGCAAACATACTCCACGTTCTATCCGGAAACACTTGGGAAGAGCGAAAGACGTAAGACTGAGAAGAATAACACATCAAGATTCCAAAGGAAGATCAGAGCAAATGTGAGAACTACAAAGGCATCACACTATTGTCAGTACCAGGAAAAGTTTTCAACAGTGATGTTGAACCGCGTAGAAGATTCAGTAGACGCCCATATTCGAGATTGACAGGCCGTAATCCGTGGGGTTCGGTCGTGCACTGACTAAAGTCGGAACACTACAGTTAATCGTTGAACAAACAATCGAATGGAAATCGTCACTATACATCAACTTCCTTGACTATGAGAAGGCAGTTGACAGTGTGAATAGATTATAATGAAAATTTCTCTAAATTATGGAGTACCTGAGATGGTCACCATCATACGGAATTCATATGACGGATTACACTGCTAAGTCGTGCAAAGAGGATAGCTGACAAACGCATTCCAAGCGAGGACTAGTGTCAGATATAGCTGTTTACTCCCACCCTTTCTCTTCCTTCTAGTGGTTGGCTGGATTATGATGACCTCCACACATGAGAGGAAGCACAGAATACAATAGACAGGTTGGATGCAACTAGACGATTTCGACTTCGTAGATCACATGAACCTTCTATCACATACACACCAACTAACGCAGATGAAGACAACTAGTGTAGTAGTAGTCTCTGCATCAATACGCTTCAATATACACAAGGAAAAAACCAAAATCCTCAAATACAACAAGAACACCCACCCAACCACACTTGATGGAGAAACTCTGGAAGAGGTGGGAACTTTCACGTACCCAGACAGCATTATCGATGAACGTAGAGGATTTGATGCAGACGTAAACGTGAGGATTGGCAAAGCATTCTTATAGTTGAAGAACATATGGAACAGTAAAGCTTTTCAGGACTCAAAAACCTGATAGACTTCTAGGAGAGCCGATCGATTTATTGATTTTGAATAAAAGGGAAAAATTCATCACCCAATACGTATGAAGAAAAAGACATTATATAAATGACTGCAAATTGATTACATAAATTTGTAATAACCGAGAAATTTAATGGTCATGGTGCCAAAAAATAACGAAATATCTTGCAAAGTTATTGTGATACCTAAAATATGGGGAAGGAATAACCAACTTACCAATCACTACCTGTCCCAACGTTGGATTCCAATCGGAAAATAGTGTTCAACAGGTCAACGTCGAAAATGAATGTATGGGGAGATATGATCCACTTTAAAAAACGATCTCGTATATCAACCCAATGAGTATGTATGACTTCCGAGAGGTATGGGGACAGAGATGGCCACTGAGCGGCCGGATGAGAAATATCGCCAAACTTCCCATCAACTTGACAAAGGATACATGCCAAGCAAGCGGAATCGACAGCAAGAGTCGGGTTTGTCGTTCGTCGAGAAATAGTACACAGGTAACTTGCTAATGTTTTTGACACGATAAAAACTATACACTGACGAGTGAGTGGTACGAGAGAACAAATGTTTTGAATGCAAATCTTCTCATCTTTACTCTGGTTAAAAAGTAATGACAGCGATTTGAAATCTTGAAGGAATTGATCCCACAACCCATTACATGCTTCTGACTTTACCACGACCTTACATTTATTATGGTCATGAGATAACAAAAGCATCTGAAGGACCCAGGATATAAGCTTAAGCTCTGCACTATTATATAAGTTATAGTTAGAGGATGTACGAGAAACTGACTTCAACTGGTCACTGAGTTTTTTCACAAAATTACAAGCCCATATTATTTCCTGCGAATTATTATTCAGGCCACTAATGGCAAAGTGGAAACGAATAATTTGCTCAAACAGTGTTTCTTGGTTGAATCCGGATGAATTATTTGAGTGAGGATGGACATTATCCAACGAATCTATTTCCTTGCTGCCAAATGAGTATGAGGTAGAAGTATATTCACGAAGACTCCAGACTTCATGTATGTGCTTTAAGAGAATAATCTCTTCATTTTCAAAAGAAACATTTTTATGAGAAGTTGAGTTGAATAGAATATCTAGGTTGATAGGCAAATATAAAACTGTAGGTGAAGTGCTATTTCCTACACTACCGTCGAATATCCTGTTGTGAACGTTGTGCAAATAATCTGCACTTAAATCAACAAATGTGTACCAAAACATACACAGAGCCTGAAAAACTATGGCATGAGACTTATGACTCAAAGAGAACGAAGATATTTTACGACCAGATCGCGAGTCTCTTTTTGTTGACACACCATCAAATGAAGATTTGGCCTCCCGAAACAAATTTCTAGTCTGTTGAACAAGATAGGATGCAGTTTTACTAGATGTAAAGTCGAACGTAGTGATAGGCCATTGTAATAAATGCCCTATCATTTTTAAACAGTCTGTTATGTAATTTTTCGGATCCTTCTTGGCTAATAACTCGTTTTTTTCTAATCCTTCGATAGATGGGTTTGCTGGGACATGTGTTATGTATGTAATCAGAAAATTGATTGAAGTTACCGAAATCTTGTAGACGACATTTTTATCCATTTTCGAGGAAGAACTAGCCTAGAAAGCAAATATTTCTTTAATAGAGATTACCTTGTACGCTAGTGGAAGCAATTCATAAGTTATCTTGAAACGATAAACATTGAGGACTGAACTAGATATATCAGTCCAAGGATTATCTCCGATCTCGGGAGTTGGATTGTCAAGCTCATCCGCAAACTCGTCCTCGTCATCACACCCCATTACCTCTCCCTCTTCACCTTCGTCAACATTCTCATTTCTAAAACCTAAGCTATACATTGAACCAGTTACTTTATTAACGATCCATAGTTATCTGTGGGTGATGAATGGCACATTATACCACTGCTGGTTGATATTCGGTTACTCTTATGCATGGAGAGCTCACCGTCTATGAGGCTTTGATAAACCAGTGCCAAAAGTACGGGTAGAACCTGAGGGTAAAAGACTACGTCTTTAAGATTCAGTAGAAAAATAATGCTTTCCGCTCTTCCCAGCTCATCGGACATCTGGTTGAAATAAGATAATGTCAAGTCCTTCTGTAGCGACGGGTTGGTGCGCGAGAATATATCTGAGAAAGGAGTTAAATATGCAAACAAACTTACCACAACACACTTTATCAGTAGGATTCTTAACTATTTTGCTAAGAAGTTCGATTTGTGTCATATCAAGATGCCTTTGAGTTTCATACCTACATGATTAATGTGATATAGAACATGATTACAGACGACACAGAATTTCAGCAGCCAAAGTAGCGTCTCCATACTCCTGCATAAGTTCATACTCAATTATCTAAGTGTGATACATTATTAGACGTTTACTTCTAACTTTATTGAACTCGGAAACAATGATTTTAGCATCAAGAGAAAGCTTTTACAATCTTGAATGCTATGTTGCATTAGTTTGGATATTTGTCGTCTTATAACAGTAAAGTCTGGATCCAAGACATCCGCTCTCCTCCTAATTGCCATCAATTTGAAAGTAACGAACCAACTATACGAACGCGCTTAATCATAAATTTCAAACTTCAATTCCTGTCTAGAAAAAGTTCATAAACTAATGGTTTCTTTGGGTCTGTGTCCGGGTGATAGAAGAGTAGCATTGACAGTGGAAATGTATGAGTTTTTTTAGGCTTCTACTGAAACGGAAGCTAGCTATTAATGGTGAGAATGATCTTGGAGTAACAAATGGTTGTGGACGGAATAGAAAAAGCTTTCACTTAACATGCTTCCGTGTCTAGTAAATGTGAATGCCCAGGACCTCTAGGCAGGAACCTAGGTATGTTATCGATAATAGAGATAAAAAAACGTAGATCGTAATAAGATGTTATCCTGAGTCCTTAAGCATAGGTCAAGTTTCCTTATAAAAAACTCCTGGAACGTCGCTTAAACTAGTTCAGTCGACAGCGAATTACAAAATTTGACAACTCTTAAGGAGTAGAAGTTGTGTCTACAGTCTGTTGTGCTATGTTGTATCTCCATTTCCTGGGTGTTACCCCTTAGGTTTGTATTCGGACTAAACTTAAGTAGGTGTTTAAGGGGATGTCCAGAAGTGTTAATGATACTGTAATCCATTAGAAGGTTACACTAAGACGCATATGCTCTAATGATTAAAGGTTAAATGACTGGAGACGCTCTTCATAAGGTTTGAATTTAAGTCCCCGGACTGATTTCGTGGTTCGCCGTTGGACACGAGCCAGAGTGTCCTTATCCTTTGGAAGTGAGGGAGGAAATACTATGTTTCCATACTCTAAGTGGAGACGAATAAAACTGTTGAAGATTATGTCGAAAGTTCTACCATCAAACTGGCCAAAAATGCGCTTCAATGTTACCAGTACAAGGTTCGCTCGAAAGTCATTTTTGTCACAGTTAGCGTAAGACTTTAAATCATAGGGCTTCAGGACTCCTAAATATTTTTCAACTCGGGATACTACTAGAAAAGAGTTTCCTAAGTTGTAACGATAGTCTGCGACATGTCGCAGATGGAATACTTTGCACTTTGAAGTGTTGAAGGTAAGTCCGTCATCGTCTGCCCAACTTTGAAGTCGAGTCAGATCCTCTTGAAGTGCCTTTATATCGTCTCGGTTGCGTATCTCTCTCCAAAGTTCCACGTCATCAGCAAAAAATAATAAGTCTGACGACACCTGTTGTGGAAGATCATCAGTATAAATCAAGAAGAGAAGAGGTCTTAGTACTGAGCCCTGAGAGACCCCAGTATAACATTCCATAGCCTGAGATAAAGTGAAGTTAACCCTGACATTAAAATGTCGATTTTTCAGATATGAAATGAGCCAATCGATTAGAGGTGGTTTAATACCCAATCGTCTGAGCTTATTGATAAGACAAATTTGGTCAACCCTGTGAAAAGCTTTCGAGAATTCAAGGTAAATGATATCGACCTTCCCCTTGTTATTAAGGATCCTTGTCCATCTGACCACCGCAGTCAGCAGGTTAGTTATACAAGAGTAATCCTTCCTGAAACCATCCTGTTGGGGCGAGAAGAAATTCAAGGACAGCAAATAGTCATGTATACCATCGCATATATGTATCACGTACCGTACTTTTTTGATTGTTTGATACAAATTATCGAAATTTCTAAATTACTTTACTATATAAGGCTATCTTTCATGTCATATGTGTTAAACTTTATACAACTTACTCCTTTATATTCAATTTTGCCTCCACACAGGTACTGACATAAATACTTCATCTTCACTACTATCTTCCTGCAATTGTCATCTGTTTTTAACATCACTAATCCTCACGATACATTTACTCTTGGTTAAAACACAGATTTTGATTTTTAGACTAACTTGAGCCCTCGGAATTGATTTTTTCACCCCTTTCTATTTCCAACATTCTGTTCAATCCACTTGCTATACGTCACTTTCTTATCATACCACAAAAGTAAATGAAGACTCCTACTTCTAGGCGTTCAGCCAAACGTAGGAAAACGACACAATCTAACACTACTACTGACATGACTTCCGGCAGTTTCAACGAAACGAGCTACGCCGTTCATTCGGAAGCAGACAAGCTTATACCAGTTGTCTCCATTCCAGACGTGTTGAAAACTCTGGTGATAAACAGTGATGATAATCGCAACTGCAACCATATGGATGCTATAAAAAAAGTTGCAAATGGACATGAACATTCTCAATCCGCTTAAATATCTCATCAACCCCAACCTCACAGAGACTCCAGATCAAATGAATGACATAAATATTTTCCTAGATCGTGTTGAATCAGAGGTATTTTAAAGAATAAGCCGATCTAGCAATGTAATTGTGTTTAATATACCGGATACACATGCCCTTAAAAATATCAAATCCAGTCTGCTTAGAGCCAGCAATATGACACACGTATCATATGTATGCACAAGATTAAAATGAAGTTACCCAGGTGTGAACTCACCGATCTTGTTTAAATTCAACTCATCTGTAGACGCCAGTGAATTTTTAAATTCCTCCAATTCATTGGGACAAAAACAGATTTTCAAGGATATTAAGGCTCTTCCGGATAAAACACCATGCCAGCGAAAAGCAGGAAGAAATAACTACAGACCACCAGCGTCAAACTCTCAAACGCATCATAATCCTAATGGTCGTAAAGTTAAGTCCGATTCTAAGAGGACGTTTAGCTTAACGAGTTTGCCGCCACCGAAAAACTCTTCTGAATCTCCTAAAGTTCAAAACCCAGAAGAAAGTAATCCCGATGTTGGTGGTGTCCATCCTCTTAAGAATGTTGACTTAGATTCAACCCGAAGTAGTTGTGCTGATGAAGAATGGGATAACACAATCCAAACCCCTGTTAGTGCAACACCCAGTTACAGTAACTGTGCAACAGATAACAGGAAAACTAATCATAACATTCATCTAACTGACCACAAACTTAACGTTGATATATTCGAACCTCGAAAACCATCGCAAGTATGTTTAACAGTACACAATCCTCTCCAACTTATGAAGAAGCCGAAATCAACCACAAAATAAACGAAATAAACATCTTAAACGCGTTACCCATACATCAGGTATAAATAGTTATCTGAATTGTAATTGGTCACTTGGTCACAACCATAGACCTGATAGCCTTCTTGGTCCGGCTCCCAATATGTACACTATGCCATTATCAGATGTTATGTCCGATAGCAATGAGAAAACGTTTTTTGTAATTGCGCTGGCTTTCCTGACGGCAACGGTAAACATATTTCACATGATGACAAATTGGTTGAATCTATTTCCCCTCGCAACACGACTCATACCTTAGCTAATCCTATGAGTATTCATGGAACTACCGATTGCGATTTATATCTAACCTGCTTCACTGTGATGACTCTGAGTTTCTTATTCTTTCGTTCAATGCCCGCTCTCTGTCTAAAAAAATTATTCATCTTAAAACTCTTTTATTCCTTGTAAATCCAACCATTGTACTTAATACGGAAACGTGGTGTAATTCATCTATATCCGATCATTCCTTGAATGTAGATAACTACGTTTTCTTTAGAACCGATAGATGTTATGGAATAGGAGGCGGTACAATTATCTATGTCCGTTTAGACATTCAAGCGTGCGAATTTGAGGATAAATCCCTTGATGTTATAGAAGACTCCACTTGGGTTACTGTAAACTGTGGATTCCAAAATTATTTACTGGTGGGATGCATATATAGACCACCTCATGCGTATACTAAGTTTGACAGATTACTAACAAACATGTTTTCCATTGCTTCGCATCAACCGCATACTTTTTAAATCATCGGAGGTGATTTTAAGGCACAGTATGCTTGTTAGTTTACGGGTTTTCGCGCACGTGTAACGTATTGTCGTGGATTTTATGTGTCGTTATTTATCAGCTATTAACAGCCTTTTTTCCGTCATACATGACTTTTCGTAATCTTTGTGATTGGAAGATAGTTTTTGTTTCAATTTATAAGCAGTTTGACGTATTTCGTGCTCACCACCTAAGTAAATATGTAGCTGGCGTAATATGTTTTTTTTTTAACAATACTAAGTCAAAGAAGTCAAATCACCATTTTTCTAGTCAAAAATAGATTACAGATTGAGTTTTCATGAAAATAAGCCGTAAAAAGAATTATATATGGTTCACCTCCTTGATTATGGTGACGGCAAACACAGATGTTCGTAGTCGTTTATAAAATGTAATTAGAAAGAAGTAAGCGTTAAAGTAACTATGAATATTATATAAATTGTTTGTATTTAGCCATAAAAGGTTATTTGGACTATAGGTAGCATTGTTTTGTACTGAAGTGACATATTACTGTGTAAGGTATCAGAGAGAAATTATGTGAGTAACAATAGACGTTGATAGTCTTTTTTACCGGTTTTCTGAACTTATACAGAAATAGTGTGTAACACCACATTAAATATGCACGAAATCTTCATAAGTAAATCGATGGGTGTCTCTTCTGAGCATGGTGACGAAACCATGTCTTACTTAATACTGACTTATGATGTGTCTGTTAGAGGGTTGACGAATAATTCTCTGTAAAGGAAATGCACAATCGCAGAAGAAAATGTGAACAAAGTTATGATGCATATTGTCGAGTAATATCTAAATGGTGCTTACCAATTTCTCTTGCTAATACCAGATATATAGACGAAATACTACAAGGGTTAGACACTGAAGAAATTTCCATTGCTTGTTAAGACACAAACTTAAATCAAAAAACAACTATTAATGAGTTAATTCATGAATTCCTACTGCATTACAGACTGACTCGTCTAAAGTAATTCATGCAGACAACGTGACGAAAAGTGAATGAGCAATGGAAGCAGAATCACAAGTTCCTTGTATTCATATCGCCTTTATGCCACATTATTGAATTACATTTTATTCATAAATCCGACCACGCTTCTATGTTGTGACGAACCTGATTTCAGTAATTTTTAAATAACACTGATTTGTGTGTTGTAAAGATTACCTATTAATTTTTATTAAAGGAAATAGAAATCTCTAATGATTAGCGCTGTCTGCAAATAAGAGACTTATAA